AATACCATCTCTGCTCTTTGGTTTCCTTCTCTGTGCCTTCTGAGTTCCCACAGGGCTTTTTCACATCTTGGGATGGTAACTGTCCCATCTTAAGCGTTTCTCCTCGTGCCGCTGCGTACATGCTCCACTCCCTTTGCACCTTGTGTTCAGCTATGCCAACATCCCGGTGTTGCTTTGGTGGCCATTCCGTGGCCCCAGAGGCAACAGTCAGTACCAAAAGAAACTGATGGCTTTAGATATGAAAAGCAATAGGATGTTTATGGGTTGTCAACTGGGGGCCCAACGGTAACTGTTGTAACAACGTCAAAAATGCAAGTTAAAAGCAGCACAGACTCTGCTTTCTCTCACCCCAAAAGGCATACGTGAACTCCATATAGAGATACACGCACTGGAAAAATACAGTGTGTAATAATACAGAAGCAGGTGTTTATTAAGGATGAGAATTGCTGCCAGTCAAGACCTTGCCTTTTTGAAATGGGAAGACCTGTGGTAGTACCTGTGGAGGTGTTTGAGGAGGGTATTTTAGGGGACAGGGAGTTCCTGCCACTGAAAGCACAGTAGTGGCAAAATTCTTGCTGTTGGGAAAGCTTCCCCTGCTCCAAGGAGGTCCCTTTAAGAGCAGTTGGGTAAGGACCTTGTTCTGACCCTTGTGAGTTTGCCTTAGGTTATTGATTGTTGAGGTGATTTGTCAGGTGTGGCTCCGTGTTGGGGAGCTCTGGTGCAGAAAGGAAACCTCCCTGACCCCCTGGCCCTGAACCAGTGAGCCCTGAACAGCAGGTGGGTTCCCAGAGGCACCCCAACCGCTCTGCCAGCGTGTGGCTGCACCAACCCTGCCTGCCCTGAGCTGCTTGGGTCTCTCCTTTGGCCGCCCAGCCTGGGGACAGAAAATCCCAACTCGGCATCAAGTCAAACCCTGGAGGCCACTTGCAAGTTCTGTTCCAGCACCATGGAAGTCTCAGGGTGCGGCTGCAGAGGCTGAGGCACCATCAGCTGTTGGAGCGGGTGCATCATGGGGCGAGGAGGACCACCCCTCTCAGCTCAAAAGCCACTGAACACTGGGAGAGAGACTTCCCAAGAGCTGGCGCGCTGGGGTGAGGGGATGCTTCTCCCCCCTCCCCCAAGTTGTGTGGCTGTGCTCCTGCAGCAGCAGCTGAAGGAATAGCTGTGAAAAGTAGAGAAACAAGACCCAAGCGAAATCACGATGAGCAACACCAGGATCTTTGAAGCTGGTTCGTACACCACACGACTCATGGATTATTTCTTTTTTTTTTTTTTTTTTATAATCATCCAGACTGGTTTACGTGACCACTCGTCAACTCCAATCATTCAAAACAACGTTTGGGGTTTTAATTCCTTTTCTCTTTATTTGGACAATATATATATACATATGTACAAAACCATCTATGCCTACTTTTTTTTTTTTTTCCTTTTCTTTTTTTTACAATTTCATGTGATTTACAAAAACAGGACAGCAAAATAACTTATAAAGGATACGAATACTGTACAAAAATAAAACTGATTAAACTGTTGGAAGTTGGTATTTTTACAGTGTTACAGATCGGTAGTCTGTAAAACAGCATTTTGAAGTATGTGTGCAGTCTGGTGTACGCTGGGATAAGTCCATCTGCAAACTGAAAAGAGATCTGTAATACAGGTCATGGAAAACGGTTCGAAAAAGAAGTATGTTGTACAGCTATACCTTTAAAGCCATGATTTCTGTATAGTAATGGGCTTTCTTAACCAAGGAGAAGAGCTGTCCTAACTTCAGCACTATTAACTATTTCCAAAATAGTACGACAAGTACATATGGTATTAGAGAACCTGATTTTCTTTCCCAACATATGCAACACTCTTCAAAACTTCAAGATGCAAAGAACTAACCTGCAGTTTTATGTGTTAGAGCCATTGTTTGCTTTTACTTAGAAGTATATCCCCAAAACCCACACATGAACAAAACGGTTAACATGAAATCTGCAAACCTGATCATCCCCAAAGTATTCCGTTAGTGGTTAATGAATCGCATTAATCCCGTCTGTCCAATGCTGAGATACAGCACGCGTTAGAGCAAATGGGTTACCATTTAGGAAGGTTTTTTTCAGACACAGGATCTCGCCACGCGCGATGACGACACGCGCCCCTAGGTCCCACTGTCCCACGGACCGAAGCGCTTCCCTGCCTGTTGACTCTCACAAGACTTGGCAGGAGCGGCGACGATTCTCCAGCTGTGCACTCTACCCCAAAACACACGAGGTGGAAACCGTGCATCTGGCCATCTCTACTTCCATGTGTCCGTTAAGCCTGGTAGCTAGGTGACCAAAAAAAAAAACATCTGCGTACTGATTTAGGAGCTGCTTATCCGCTGCGGCTTCCCACTGCGGCTGATAGGAGGTGGAGGGTGTCTCGGTGTTTTCACAGGATCAGGCCTGAATTTTCCAAGTGCTGCGTTTGTTGTTGCCTACAAAACGGCAACGCTCCACACTGCAGGACGGAGACCTGGAAGTTTGCATTGATCTTCAGGAGGAATGAAGACGAACGTGCATGCACCTTTGAGTTTCACCGGGCTGCACCTGGCCCTGACCCCGCTGAACAAGGCAGCATTAACAGTACTGGTAAGCAGAACGCTTTTTTTTTTCATTTTATTTTCGTATTTCTAGATCAATAGAAATACTGAGGCTACCTATTTTTATTAGGAAGAACATACGTCCCTATGACTCAATTTGGACACCAGAAATTAAAGTTTGGTTTCTAAAATAAATGTTTCAAAAAGCTGAAACGGAGGTAGAAAGTGTGCTTGGTTTCCTGATGTCTTCACTGAAGAAAACACATCCCTTTTTTATTCCATAGACTGCTCAATATCCCTAATGCCTTAAAAGCAGTTCTCTTCACATAGACGGAATTTATCATGAACTACACAGGTAAAAACACTATATGCAAACTGATTTCTAATGCTGAAAGCCTTATACAACTGTAGAAGAAAACACTCTACTCTCTGAGTTCATTTTCCTTATGTTTGTTTCTAGGAAGCAAGCTTTTTATCAGGTAAACAATAAGATACAGTAATTGCAGGTGTACTAACAAGTTTTTTTTATGTACAGAATTTTACAAGATGACCTAAATTCATCTGCAGTGGAAACACTTTGGGTTTCAGCGTGGTTACTGACGAGATGAATTTGGCCCTAAGTCTCTATAGTAGGGCTGCACCTCCCCTTCCTTTTCTGGAGGAAGGGGTAAAATCCAAACAGGAGAAGAATGTTTCTGGAAAAAAGAATGTGTAAACAGAATTACCTCCCCCCACACATATGCAGTTGGGGAGAGGAAAAAAAAAATAAAAATTCACCAGTAACTTCTTACAGTTCACGCTTTTAACATAAAAAAAGATGAAATACTCAGCTAATGACCACTGTTTTTTTCTTCAGTGATCTTTTTGCTCCTCTCAAAGAGCAAAGTGTAGCTTTAAAATAAAAATAATATTGCCTTTATCACTATTTGTTGTGCCACGCGTGACACTGGTACAACGCAAGGTACCAAGGGAGGCTTATGTCGTAAGAAGTATCATCACGACACACCTTTCGTGCTGAATTTCCAATTACCTCACGGTTTCCCCTTATAGTCTAGCCAGAAACAGCCATCAGGAGATACAGGAGCCCTTCCGAAGGGCTCCTTACAATAACTTCAGCTGTTTCCATTAGCAGAGTGCTCTTAAGGAAAGGTCTACTCTCTCCATAAGCACACACAACTCCCAGAGGACTCGGCAGGAGTTAGGCAAGGGTATGAAGAGAATAAATCTTTAAGGCAAGTGTAGGAAGAGAAAAAACCTTTAAAAAAGCAGCAGTTTATAAAGATGGTAGCTGCTGTTATGCATCCATTCGAACAAAACACAGCAGAATAAAGCACTGTTAGTGGCATTTCTATAGTACAGTACTGTATTTATTGACAAATGAAAAGTATAGGATCAGTTGAGAGATGTATGCTTCTGCTCCCACATCCCCACCACATTATCTAGGCTGACTTGTGTTTTTCCAGGTAAGTGAATAACCGAGCTAAATACACATATGGTCAGAAAAATGACTGAGCTGCTGTAGGGTTTTGTTGGGGTTTTTTTGCTTTAAGTATCTGTTTGAATTATACATGTTTTTACTGGAAAAGTGCAGCTTATATTCAAAAGTATAGTTAATACAAAGAAAAATTAAAAAGTCCCCTTTATGTGAATGGGTCTTCTTGAGTATAAATTCACCTTATCTCAGTATATCAATCAGATGCTATTAGTAACATATGTAATGTTTCTCTTAACAGTCTCTTTAAATGCAGGATCGTTCTGAGACAGAAGTAAACCCACTTCTACAATGTGCTATGGAGTTTTTATCTGAGAGTTATTTATGTGACTCGGAAAGTGGTTTTACTCGACAAAACTCTAAATACAAGCAGCATTACACTGTTCAACAAAACATGTTCATGACACAGCAATCACAAAGACCTCGGAGTCACACTACTGTGGTGGCACAGGCCAGACCATTCAGTCAGACGTATGTACACCAGCATCAATGCTTTGCATTAGAGGAGGTGGTCACCTCCTCTGCTGGACATCCCCTCTCTCCTCTCACCCCACAATCTGCTTCCTCCAATTCCCCTGTTCCCAGCGAAGGGTAGGGAGGTGGAGGACAGCGAGTGGGGTACAGAGTACCTTTTTTTTTTTTTTTTTAAATTTTTTTTTTTTTTTTTAAATTTTTTTTTTTTTTTTTAAATTTTTTTTTTTTTTTTTAAATTTTTTTTTTTTTTTTTAAATTTTTTTTTTTTTTTTTAAATTTTTTTTTTTTTTTTTAAATTTTTTTTTTTTTTTTTAAATTTTTTTTTTTTTTTTTAAATTTTTTTTTTTTTTTTTAAATTTTTTTTTTTTTTTTTAAATTTTTTTTTTTTTTTTTAAATTTTTTTTTTTTTTTTTAAATTTTTTTTTTTTTTTTTAAATTTTTTTTTTTTTTTTTAAATTTTTTTTTTTTTTTTTAAAATTTTTTTTTTTTTCTTTTTTTGAACGTTGGCTACATGTGCTTTCGGATGGCGAGGGCAACCGGCAGCACGAGGGATGCTCGTGCTCCAGCACCGCAGCCCGCACCTCGCCTGCGTCCCCCCGGCTCCCCTCCCCGGGCCAGCCCCGCGCTCACAAGGAGCTGCTGCTGCTGGAGCTGGACTTTTTGGATCGCTTGATCATGCTGGGGTGGAACTCGGTGTGGCGGCGGGCGTGCTTTGTCAGGTGGTCGCTCCGCATGAAGCGCTTCTCGCAGAGGGGGCACCGAAACTGCTTCTCACCGGTGTGGGTCCGGTAGTGCCGAGTCAGCTCGTCGGAGCGGGAGAACTTTTTAAGGCAGTCGGGCCATGTGCAGGGGAACGGTCGCTCGCCTGCAGGGAGGAGAGGATGACAAAAGATTTAGGGGGGACGGGGACGGACGGGGGCAAGGCAGGCCAGCACATACCAGCTTTGCCGAGGAGCCGGGGAACACGCTGCTGAGGGGAAAAAGCTGCTTTTGTTTCCTGCCGCGGTGCCAGCGTCTGCGGAGTTGTTGATGACTCGCTTCATCAGGTTTCAGTCTCACCTCCAGCAGAAGCCAAAAAACCCTCCAACCGCATGAAACTCGCACTCCGATGCAGAACCTTACATGACCCCGAAGACTGTCAAAACAACAGATGAGCTCTGCCTGTGCCTGTACGTTTTTCATGTCAGGCTCACTACGGCGGCTTGGGAAAGGAGCCGCCAGTATTATTCCTCTGACACTTCCATTCCGCTGAATAAAATCATTTGTCACCGTTAGAAAAGAAGCCAAAAAAAAAAAAATCTTTCACCTAGGACAAGTCATTCAACCTGGGGAGAACTGAGCGGGGAGGGACTGGGGAGAGCGCTGCAGCCTCAGGGCTGCAAACACGTACAGCAAAACCACTGCAGCAGCACAGACAAGCGTCACGTCCCCCCCTCTCCTCCCTTCTCCTAGAAATCCAAGCTGTTCCAGAGCGCAAAGGTCTCCTCTCAGTCCCTTAGCTGACTTGAGGATGGGATTCACTTCATTATTCGCAGCTCTATCAGTGCCTATGTTTGCTACGATGGTGGAGAACCAAACCAAACACCTTAACCTAAGCCACACTGCACCTTTGGTTTTAAAAAATAAGGGTGCAAGGATTGAACAGTGCTCACTGTCATCCTCCTGGCACTTCCACATCCCTGCAGGTCACCTCTGCGGGTCGCAGTCTCTTTGCCTACAGGCACAGACCCGATGCTTCCTGACCGGCAAGGCTGACTCCAGTCCATGGCACAGATGGGAAGCGAAGGTGTTTAAGTTCACACGAAAGCTTTCAGTCACAGACATCATGCACTGCTCCAGTTTGATGCCTTAATTCCCTGTCTTAAGTCTCCTGAAGAGAATATAAATGACAGCTATTGTGACAGCTATTTATAGGTAACCATGAAATATAAGAACTATCCCAGGAGTTTTCCAACTTGGAAGAGCTGGAAAGAAACTCAAGAACTCCAGTATTTCTTGGTACTGCAAAGTTTGGCACGCTCGCTCTACATTTACAGATCACAAAAAAAGAAGTCATTCACAAGAAAGTGTGCCTTGGAGTCCTCCCCAGACACAATAGCAGCGATAAAAGGCTAAAGACTCAAGTGAACAGTCCAGATTCCAGGAGGACATGCAGCAGTGGAAAGTATGGCGGAGCTGTAGGGAGGAGAAAGGCGGCTGGGGGGGAACTGAACGATGGCATCCAAAAGGCTAGGGAGGATGGGGACAGACCAGCTGTGCTGAGATGTAGCTACACCACAGGCCCTGAAAGCCCTAGGCACCCTCTCTTAAATAACACAGCCACCTTCACGGTGTAGGCTCTGAATGATATGGTGCTCCCTGAGGGGCAGCTGCTCCGTCTCAGATGGGCTAGTGCAGCCGGAGGAGAAGGACTGTGAGGGCCACTGCAGCCCCTCGGGCACGGCTGCCTGACCCAGCGATGCCTTCCCCCATCTCACGATGATGCTGGTCCTCGGTGAGAGCAGGAGGATGCAGAGGGAGCCAAGCCAGCCCGGTGCCCGAGCCTGGCGCGAGCAGAGCTGCCAGCCATCCTGACCCTTTTTCGTCGGCAGGTTTCTTGGCTCCCCGCTGCACGCTTCTAGACATGGTTGGAAGCCCTTCTGAACAGCTACCGCCCGTATAAAAGAAATTAATTAAAACAGTCCGTAGGCTCACGCGTGCAGGAAGGCCACCATGGCTGCTGCCCGGCCGAGCAGCACCCGGCAGCAGCGGTGCCCACCATCCTGCCCAGCGCCCGCCCCCAGCATCCCAGGCGGGCGGGTGTCTCACTCGCACTGCTCTTTTGCTATCCATCTCGCGGTTTCTGTCACAGCTACTGGAAGCAGGCAGCAGTGGGAGGTGCAGAGCAGCTTTCCAGCTCCCCCCGGGAACGTGGGAGAAGCGCTATACATCTTGCATGCGCGGAGGCACCTCGTACGTGGCTCTGTGTCAGGCACTAAACGCCCCAGCATGGTGGGAGCTGCTCCCCGGGCACCCCACCCCACCCCCAGACACCACATTTCCATCCATCCACCCCAGGGCAGCTCCTCAGCCTGCAGAAGTGCCTCAATGGACTACAGGGAGACCAGATTCCTAGGCTGGAGAGCAAGAACCACAGTCGCTGGGGGTGCAGCATCTACCTTTTAGGCATGGCATTATCCAACCCAGGTGTCTAAAAGCAGTGTTTTGGATCTGGGCCCCTGTAGCGCTTGAGAAACTGGGCTCCTCAGAATCACAGACTCACAGAATATTCATGGTTGGAAGGGACCTTTGAGATCATTGAGTCCACACACAAAAAAAAAAAGAACCAAAAAAACCCAACCAAACAAACACAAAACAAAAACCAAACAAACAAAAAAACCCCTACCACACACCCACACCCCACACCACAGATAGACACAAACCAACAATCCTGGGCACTAGAGCGTGCCCTGATGTGCCATGTCTACGTGTTTCTTAAATACCTCCAGGGATGGTGACTCCACCACCTCCCTGGGCAGGCTGTTCCAGTGCCTGACCACCCTCTCAGTAAAGTAATTCTTCCTAATATCTAATCTAAACCTCCCCTGCCGCAACTTCAGACCATTTCCTCTGGTGCTGTTATAATTCCCTTGGGATAAGAGGCCAACACCCACCTCTCTACACCCTCCTTTCAGGTAGCTGTAAAGAGCAGTGAGGTCTCCCCTCAGCCTCCTCTTCTCCAAACTAAACATGCCCAGTTCCCTCAGCCTCTCCTCACAGGACTTCTTCTCTAGACCCCTCACCAGCTTGGTGGCTCTCCTCCCACCCCTTCCCAGCATTGCAGAGGGGAAGACGAAATGGAGCCTGGTGACTGGAATTCCCTCTGCGACACGGTGGGAGCAGCGTGGCTTCCACCATGGCAACTCCATTTCCCGTGCCGGGGTGGGAGGGGGAGTGGGGAAGGCACTTTTTAGGTCCCTGAGCCTAATGGTGGGGCGCTGGGGGAACGGCAGGGCTGGCTTGGCATCCCTTACACCCCTTTGGCACCGCGGTCCCTGGGGAGCCAGCCCTTCACTCAGCCCGGGGGGGACACAGAAGGCCCGGGGGGGACACAGAAGGCCCGGGGAGCCTGCTGTGGCAGAGGCATGCCCTGGTCCTGAGGGGAGGGCTGCCTCAGACGCACCACCGCCGAACTGAGCCCAGGCAGAGCAGTGAAGAATAGCCCCACCACCTCAGCCACAGGAGCCTGCGAAGGCTGTCACGGCCACTTTGGAAGCGCCTAGATGAAAGTAGGCCAGGCATAATCCCTGGCACCAGGACGCATTAAACTCCAGGCTTCCCAGCGCTGAGAGAGAGATGAGGGGGAGGGAGGCTTCTCCAGGCCCTCAGCCTGAAGATCTGCTGCTCCCCCTGGGCCACAAGGCCGTGGACCGGTGACACCAGCCCAGGGGGAACGTGCTTCAGTGACTGGACTCAACAGGCGCGGAGTGGGGACGGGGTGTGTGTCCAGGAGGCTGCTCAGGAGAGGCAGAGGTGCCTGATGGCATCTCCTTGGTGGTGGTCCCGCCAGCAGAGCCGGTTGCTGGACTCACTGCCTGCGTCTGACACCCTGTGTTGCTTTTTTTTAAAGCATCAGAGGCGTTTTGGGAAGAGCCTTCAGGAGCAAAGAGGTCCTGTGGCTCCCATGCAGCTGCATCGCAAGCTGGTGCTGCCTCCAGCTGGAGACACCAACCCTGGGCCACATCTCCGTCTCTTTCCCACACAATTTCTCCCCTTCAGTTTTGGTAGCAGCGATGCTAAAGCCTGAAACAAGCAGAACGAACCATGAAAACGGGGCGCTCCTATATGCTATTTAGTTTAGTAGCAGTGTGCTACTCCCACTTTAAAATATGCCTTCCATGGGATCTCCATCAAAAGAGGAAGGAACAGCCGATGGTGTATCACAGTTCCTTAAAACTACACACGATAGGATCTGAACACAGGAGAAACAAGATGTAAATAATTTTCTTTAAAAAAAAATTATATATATATATATATCTATATATCTCCAGGGCAGCTTACAGAAGTAAAAAGTGAAACAGAAGCTGATTTACAGGTTTTAGGAACAGGTGTGTCTGCAGAACCCCCATTCACTGTCCTGTGTGCCAACAGGAATGTAGTGGGAGACATAGTTCATGCTGGGCACAAGCTAATGGTGACTGTCCACTGGTCTTCCTCTGGAGTCTAAAGAACTCCTGCAGCCCTGGCTTGCTTTAAATATGGATATAAAGGCCGCTGCAGATTCTTTTGATCTTTGCTCTCCTGCTTCACCTGACCTTTTCTTCCCCATTCCCTCTCCCACCCGCTACCACAAATGGTGAAGTTTCTTCTTTCTCTGCCAGTTTAAACTCTGTGTCCAAGCTGCTTTGTGTGACCTTAGGCAGATCCACTTTATTTCATTCCATTTCCATTTTATTCTGAATAGACAGTAAATTATTTAGCTTTTTTGCCCTACCCTAAGATATTGCAGATTTTCCTACTTTATAGTCTTGAGTGGAAAGGATTTCTGAAAAAAAAAAAAAAAAAAAGTGGACATTAGCAGACTTGTTAATAGTACAGGTAGTACAGGTATCCTGATCTGCCTCCCCACTACAAAATGCTGCTTCAGATGTGGATGACTGCAGTCCATGGTGCCTTTAACAAAGATGAATTCGTTCGGACAACCAAGGGATACAGAAGTTCTGAGAAGCTTCTTTTTCTGGGAGGGGAGGGGCTGTGTTTGAAAAAGCTGAAGACACAGTTGATGACCATACACCTGGGCAATTGCCTTGGCACATAACAGGACATGTGCTAGGACTGGAGCACTCTGGGCTTCCGTGGTGGAATAAAATACCGATTTTACATGAATTACTAAAATTGTCAGAGCACCAGCTTTACAGAAGACGTTCAGAGGCTGCTGTTGGCGTAGGGGGGAGTTTGGCCAAGGCGAACAGTTTGCTGGGCTCCCACCGCCCTCGGTGGGACAAGAGGCTGGACACAGCACCAGCCAACGCAGAACAGTCTGCTGTCAAATCATGCTAACGACGCACAGTAACTAGAAAGCCAAGCGGACTGTAGCTACAGCTGCATGAACGGACACCTATTCTGACACCCTTGACTGACACGTGTCATTAAAGACAAGACCACCGAGCACATGGTACGACTGTGCTGCCTTGGCAGTCACAGCAGCAACTGTTTCACGTACCAAAACTGAAGGAGGGTTCAGAGTGTGACTTCTGGGAGATGGCATTTGTGTGCGACTCCCACCCTCTGCCTGTCACAGCACAGGCTGCCAGCACCTCCTGCTGCAGGGACATCCACCCCACCTGTGGCACCTCCCTTGAAGCCCAGGCCCAAATGAACTCCATCAAGGCTGATTCCTCCTGCCAGAAATCTGAAGCAGCTGATGGGAAACAGGGAGAAGGGAAAGACCCCAGATACAAAGAGCCCAAATCTTTTGCCATCAGATGAGAGCAGAACTACTTGGCAAAACAGGACCAGCATAATAAGGTCTGCATGGCTTAAATGAGAGAATCTAATCCCCACCTTCATCTTCAGAGATCTTCCTGTACCTCCATGCCTGCTGGAGCTTGAAATTTCCAAAGAGATCTTGGCACCCTGGGAATAAGTGGCCCTGAATCACAATCCTTGACTTAGATGACAATGATAAGCATTTCTACTTTTTTTTTTTTTCCTCCTTCCCTGTGATCCTACTCAGCCACCACTCTTGCATGTTTCAGTGTCTTCCTGAAGTATGACAGATTCTGTAGGTGGATGTCAAGAACATGGTCCAGCTTATCAAGAGGTGGAGAAAAAAACCCAACCAAAACAACACCAAAAAACCAGGCTATCTTCCTTGCCTGCTATCCCAGGTTTCCCTCACTTTCTCCCCCCCCTCAATGTGTTGCTTTCCCCCTCACACCCTGAATGAGCAATTTCCTGTGGGACACAGGCTTTTGACTGAGCCTCCACACGCAAGATATTCTGGTGAAGATGGATCTTACTGACATCTGTGCCTCCACTTCTGGGCAGAGAGACTGGAAGCCTTTCAAACAGACCTTTTCCTCTTCTGAAATGTTCCAAAATGGAATCATTAGAACACGCGGCCACCACCAGGTACAGATGCTGATGTGAAACAGCAGAAGAACAACATCAGCAGTGAGGATGCGAGGTAGCACATGCCTTCAACAAAGGTTTCTGCAACACTTAAACTGCGGCCACCCAGTCTGGCCACAGATCGGACACTGCCTCAGCACAGGCAGCCGGACGGACAGGTTGCAGCAAGGGGTTTATTCCACCAGCACTCGGGACTAACCACCACAGGATGTTTTGGGTGTTAAAATGACACCTTCAGCAAGTATTTAGACTGCTTGGACATCCTCAGAACCACCACTGAACAGGTGCTTGCACACGCAGGTGTTTTGAGTCTCTTTCAGAAGACCACAGGCAAAACCACCTGCGAAAAACCACTGCTGCTGGGAGCCTAAACCCCAGAGAGACTCAGACTTGCTGTTACCCCCTGGTGACACAGCATCAGATGCAAGGGACTTCCTTACAGCTTCTCTGCCAGAGCACAACCCTCGCTGCCTGCCTCTGGGGCTTTCTTTGGAGGGGGACTGTGCCTCCTTATATATCTGTGTCAGTTGGGGAAGCCACCTGGGAGAGGTGACACCTCCCCAAAGCTCATCAGTTAAGGCCAAGCTTTCATAGCTGAGAGGACTGCCCTCAGCAGTACACTCTTGGGTAGGTGTGACAAGTTCCTACCTCTTCTCCTTTCCTACCTTATCTCCATTTGAACCTTCTCTGTTTTGCAGTAATACTTAAAAATAAATGAGAGAGCAACTCTTAACCTGTGCGGGGCACTTACCTGGGATGGAAGCGCACGGGGTTTAGGCTCCTGTCCTGTCCGAGTGATTAAATGCTCACTAAGGGTAAACAGCTTTGACAGGGGAAGGAGGAATGCCATTTTATGTGCATTCAG